CCCCAGCTGGGCAGCGCCCCGGGGCAGGTGTGCGAGTGAAGGAACAGAGATTTTGGGTCTCTCTGGTAATCCTGTGGCGTTGTGTCCTCTCGGGCTGGGCTGGACCTCGGTGCTGAGCGGAGCAGCAGGAAAAAGGAAAGTGAAAACCATCAAAGAAGGTGACACATGAGGGAAGGCTGACGCACGGAGACCCTGCTCTCCTGACATGTGCTCCATCTCTGTCCCTTAAGGAGAGGAGAGAAGCGGCAGCCAGCCTCTTCCTCCTCATCCCTGCTGCTTCCAGCTGCAGGATTTACCAACTTCCAGGGAAGCCAGGCCAGAAAAAAATCCCCTAACGTTGGCTTCTTCTGCAGAAAGCAGCCAGGGGCCAGAGCCGCAGCCCACGCTCCGTGCTGGGACAGGCACCGAGCCACCCCGACGGAGCCAGGCAGCTGCTCGCTGTCCCTGCCATGTGCCACCCGGGTGACCCCAGCACCCCTGGGGACACCCGTGGGACAGGGCCGAGCTCCAGCGGCGCTGCGAGCCCTGCTGAAAGCGTTAACGCTCAATTAGTAGCTGCCAGGTACGAGCTATCGCGCATTCATCTCTCGCTGGGTAATTGGCGTTCCAGGGCTCTCGGCTTTCCCACATGCCGCTCTCCCTCCCTGGAAAGACAGGTTTTCCCAAGGGATGGGTGGGCGGGCAGCATCTCCAGCCTCACCCCCAGCCCGGTCCGGAGCGCCGGGGCTGCAGCTCAGGGAGGACATCCCCGGGAGAGCGCGGGGGAGCCCGGCCAAACTCTAACGAGGACAAAGTGGAGGGAAAGCTGGGGGTTCCCGGGTCACACTGACATTTATTGCCAGGGCAGGGGAGGTTTCAGCCGCCGGGAAGCAGCGAGGTGGCACCGGCAGCGGGTGCTTGGCACAGGAGGCTGCGGTGGAGCTCCTGGAGGGGCTGGACTCCTGCCACCCGTCCAGCCACTCGGGCCCCGAGCCCTGGGGCGTTCCTGGGCAGCTGCCGCCCTCCTTTCGAGTGTTTTTCTCTGGGTTTTCCCCATCCTGAAACCTGACGTGATCGGGTGTCTTCACTGCGTCAAACAGGAATTTATTTGCCGGTGGCTCCCAGCCAGCTTGAAAGGCTGGCGACCACGGGAGCTCTCCTTCCCCCACATCAGAGCACCTTTTGTTCACCAAGCAGGAGTTTCTCATCTCTCCCTGCTCTTCCTGGCGCTTTTCCCGTACTCCAGAGCCGACCAGGAGGGCGGCTGTGCTGGTGGCAGCTCCAGCCGGACAGGAATCCCGGGCATCCTCTGGGCAGGGATGCTGTCCCTGGGCAGGGATGCTGTCCCTGGGCAGGGCACCAGTGCCCTCTCCTGGCCCCAGACACGGCTGGGAATGACTTTTCCTGGCTGTTATTTTGTTCTCAATGAAACAGCGGGGAACAAATTTGAATATTTAGGTGGTTTTCTCCCCAGATGGCTGCGGCAGCCAAGCCCATCCCCTTGGGTGCCCAGAGCTTTGGTGAAGTGCGGGAGAGAACACACCCTCATTATGAAAATTAGGGGATGGATCACAGCATCACCACTTCTTTCTGCTGTGGAAATGAGATTATCAGGCACGGCGGGATTGGTTTTACTCTGATCGCTGCTAAAATCATTCCCAGACACGCTGGTCTTTTATTTTTTCTTTTTTTCCGTATGGTCATCAATGCCCTATCCACAATCCTCACTGCAGGCACCGTGCTCTTCCTCTCCTGCTGTTCGAGGTATCTCTTGGAGGGAGATAAGCTCTGCAGGTAGCACCTGATTTATGGGATGCAGCCTTGGGACGGGCCCTGGAAGCACAAACTGCAGGGAGACGCCACAAAAATCCCCAGTGCTCTCTTCCGGGAGGGCTGGGGACATCCTGCGATGCTGCAGGGACCGGCTGGACCACGAGCATCCCTGTCCCGACATCCCGACATCCCGACATCCCGGCCCCGGCCGGGCACAGCCGCGCTCCGCCAGCACCCACTGCTGGAGGCCGGGGAACTGCAGCGGCTCTGAGCTCCAGAGCCTCGCAATTCCAAAATAAAACTCGCTGGGATGGGTCCCGGCGCTCCCAGAGGGAGCCCGTGTCCGTCGCAACATCCCTGCGCAGGCGGAACGCAGCAGTGGGAATGGACAGCAATCCCGGGAATGCAACCCCAGGCTGCTCACAGCAGGGCTGAACCCCAACACCAGGGACAAACCCCCACAGAGAGCTGAGAGCAAAGCCCTGCTGCCCCTGGCTCGGAAAAGGGGGAAATGTTGGTGGGCGAAGCGGGGAAATGCTGGAAGCGCCGGTCCCATCCCTGCATTCCCACACTAGAGGGAATCAGAGCTCCACAATTCTCCCTCCAGCAGCCACCGGCAGCTCCGGGCTGGCCCCAAAGTGCCGCTCTCATCAGCTGGAGAATTCTCCAGGAATATTTTCCACACCCGGAGAAGCCTCGTGGGACCACTGGGCGAGAGGAGCAGCCCCCAGCCCGCAGGACCTGCTTCTGCTGATGGTTTTATCCAGCAGAGCTCGAGCTCAGAGCCCCCAAAAACTGCTTGGGACGAGCCAAACCTCTCCCTCCGAGCCTCAAACCTGACACGATGGGTGTTTGAGGTGCAGTGCCACGCTGCTGATTCAAAAATTCCTGCACGTTCTCCCCATGGCTCTTCACCAGGTGCGGGTTTGAGACTTACCCAGAAAGGAACAAATCTGAATTCATACACAGAGTATCATGCACAGAAAAACTTCAAGGCCAAGGATGCTTTAAAAAATCAGTTTATTTTACCTTACAAATGATAAATAATTTGTCTTTTTTTAAAAAAAAAAATCATTTCAAGTGTGTTTTACTTCATGTTCCAATATTAAAATACCTTTCCCTTCTCCCCCCACCCCCTTAAGTGATCGATACAAAAATAATTGTGACCGAATTTTTTTTTTCTTCTTTGCAAAAATTCCTGTATTTTAGGCAAAAAGGCACGTTGTGAAGGCTTTTCACCAGGAGGCACAGAGGTTCCTAAAGACCCCAAGAGCTTCTCTCCCCTCTGTGCTCGTCCTAATTTGAGTGGAAGAGGACACAGACCCAAGCAGCACTTCCAGTGCTTTTTGTCTGGTCCCTCCAGGAATATTCCAGGGTCAAGGACAACTCCAGTGTCATCCTTGTTTTAACATATGGGGGAAACCAAGGCACAGCAAAGCAGTACAGTTATTTAAGAGCTTCTTGTGAATAGCTGGCAGAGCAGGACGTGAAAGTGGGCGTGGATGTAGAATCCTGCCTTCTTCCAAACCCACCTGGGATCCTCTTCTCCCCTTCCAACCACGGGGTTATGGGGGTAGTCACAAGTCTCCAGATGTTTTCTTTCTTAGTGGAGCAGTCACAAAACCAACACAAAAAGTTGGGCCTTCACTAGTCTAGACAGGGATTAATTAAAGCCCTCATTACCAGCCCTTTAGGGGCACAAGTTCCTGGGCTATATCCCCCCAGTGTATCTTGCATCCACAGGGGGATATAACAGCCAGTCAGGCACTAGGAAAAGCTACAGGCAGGCTCCTGCTTTGGGTGGGCTTCAAAGCCTCCTTGTCCGGGGGCTGTGGTCCCAAAAATCAGCTGTTTCACCACCAGGCGGTGGTGAAGGCAGCAATCTTCAGAGGCAGAGATATTTGGCAACCCAGGTCAGCCAGATCCTTGCCCTGCCCGCTCAGCTGGAGGCTGGGAAGTGCCCCTTGGAGCTCCAGAGCAGGGCAGGACACCCCTTTCCCTGCGCTTCACCCCAAAACCTGCATCTCCCGCTGCAGGGAGCCAGAGCATCACCAGCCAGCCAGCTGAGCCCGCTCGGCACGTGGGGAGGGAGGCGCAGAGGCCGCAAGGAAAGGCACGGAGCACGAGGCACGGCCGGGAGCAGCATTCCTCCTTCGGAGCAGCCAGCTCCTCGGCAGCCCCGGGCAGCCAGCCTGGCCCTACGTCTCCTCATCCCAGAGGCAGAGCTGCT